TCACCTTTATCCTCCGACGCAGATCCTGACCACATATCCTTTTCAACTCTGTACCTCACCCCGTCTCAGACACAGTTCGGTATCTCAGATTCCTTTTAGACAAAAGACTAACTTGGAACTCACATAGCAGACTTAAAAGACAAGAACTTAACCGACGTTTTGGCCAGCTATACAGACTACCAGAAAACAAACTATTAATATACAAGACCATACTCAACCCATCTGGACCTACGGAATTGAATTATGGGGGACAACTAAATTTTCGAACATCAAACGCATCCAACCCTTTCAGTCTAAAGTCCTCCGTATAATAGACAAGTTCCTTATTATGTTACAAACAAAACCGTACATCATGACCTTTACATCCCTTATGTCCTTGACGTTATTCCATTTGGATTCTCAAATTTTCATCTGAACCTAATCCACCATCCTAGCCCCTTAGCACAATCCTTATCCAGCTCCAGTCACCCCTACAACCCTCCTCGAAGGTTGAAACGGCAGTGGCCTCGAGACCTTTTGTAAAGACTGTCACTGGAGTTCTGGCAATTGCCAGCCTCACTACTCACGTCATGAGTGTCTGTTGCTTTAGTGCCCTCTCTCAGTTTCCACTGTACTCCTGCCGGTGACGCGGCTGAGAGAGAAGCGCTGGGATCTCTTGGAGTCTCGCTTTGTCCTTCATACGTGGAGGAAAGGGCTGGACTCGGAGCCCCCCTTGCCTCATTGTAAATATTGTAAATTATGTATGAATGTTTTTCTTTTTTATTTATTAAGTATGAATGTTTTTCTTTTTTATATATTTATTTGTTTCCTTGACTTATTTAATTTGCTACCAATTTCTGTATTTTTTTTTAAAATTTGATTTCAAGTTACATTTCTTTGGTTTTATAGTTTTTACCTTTGTTATATAGATGTATATTTTTATTTATTTTTTAAAAAAAAATTTTTTATTGCATTGTATATATAATATGAATGGGCATCACTCAGCATTAGTACTCAGTGCCCTTAAATGTGGCAAAATGTATTATTTCTCAATAAAAAGATTAAAAAAGAGAGAGATTATAAATTACCTTCTAATTTAAATCAGTTAATAATAAAAACTAATAATAATAATAAAAGGCTTAGCGAACCCGAAGGTTCGATGCCGACACCACCAATCGCTTATTACACACCTCCCTCCACCGTTCGCCGTCCAAACGCAGTCCCTTCAGATCGGCTTTAATGCAATCTTCCCACCTTCGCTTCGGTCACAGCAAATATTAACCTTTTAGGAATTCTCTCGTTACTAAGTCCAACAACTTTACAAGCCCATTTGATTCGAAGCGATGAAATTATCTCAATTATATTACTCGGATACAGTTCACGCAATTCGGCGTTGTGTAACCGTCTGAACTCTCCGGTTAACTCATCCTTCTTCGGTCCGAATATTCTACGCAATACTTTATTTTCAAAAACCTTAAGACGCTGCTCATCCCTTAATGTAAGCGGCCAAGTTTCGCACCCATAAAGAACTGTAGGCAAGATAATTGTTTTATAGATTCTAATTTTTAAGTTTCGGGACAAGAGGCGCGAACTAAGTAGTTTTGTCACAGAAAAATAACAAGCATTTCCCGCCTTCAGTCTAACCTTAATTTCTTCTTCAATTTCGTTTTTTCTAGTTATCGTAGAACCTAGATACCTAAATTTATCTACCTGTTCAAACATATTACCATCTATATCGATATCACCAGTAGTATCGCCATTTTTGCAGCTAACCATATATTTTGTTTTATCCACGTTTATTTCGAGTCCTAGTTTTTTACCGGCTTTCATTAATGTTGTCGTATTTAGTTTTATAGTTTCAAGGTCTTCGCTTAACAGTACCAGATCATCCGCATAGCCCAGCACGGATGTTGTCCCACCCAGATCCAACCCTTTCTCGGTACACATTACCTCCCTAATGGCATGTTCTAATGCCATATTGAACAGGACAGGCGAAAGGGAATCCCCCTGTTTTAAACCCGAACGAACCTCAAATTTTTCGGACAGATTATTACCGATTCTAACTTTATTGAGTGTCTCCGTCAAGCACATCCTGACTAGATCTACTAATTTTTTAGGAATCCCCTGCTCGATTAGAATATTATACAGTTACTGGTGGTCAATAGAATCGTAAGTCTTTTTAAAATCTGTATACAGCTGGTGAACAATACCGTTTTACTCCATTTTTTTCTCTAATATTTGCCGTAAAGAAAATATTTGATCAATAGTCGAACGATTCCGTCTAAATCCGCATTGGTAGTCTCCGATAATTTCCTCGGCGTATTCCGTGATTCGACTGGTTAAGATTAAAGTAAATATTTTATAACATACCGGAAGGAGTGAAATTCCTCGAAAGTAAAATACTAAAAAAAATAAATTAAACATGAGGTAAAAATAATGAAAAACGATCTAATAATTTATATAAATATTTACAGTAGTAGCTATTTACTATTTTATGAGGGCTGGATGGATAAGAAATGATTAAACAGTCGGGATTTAAAGGTAGGAAGGGTTTTGGATGGACGGATAAGGAGGGGTATGGAGTTTCATAGGATTGAGGATCGAATAATAAAAGATTTATCGAAATCATTGGTTCGGTGGGCCAATATATATAAATCTGAAGACCGAGGATGGGTATTGCGGGAGTGGACTGAGGATTTAAATTGAAAGAGCTCGGAGATGTAAGAAGGACGCGGGAGTGAATTACTGGGAAGAGGAAGGATGCCAGAAAATACTTACTGCGGTAGGAAGGATAAAGCCATTTCAGCTCTTCATAGAAACAGGAATCAGGGGCGTCTCTTGGGATCTCTAAGATTAATCTTACAAAGTAATTTATCAAACGTTTTAGTTTTGCCTCGAGATCCCCGGAGACGCCTCCATATACCGTGCAGCAATAGTAGAAGTGGGGAAATATTAAGGAGGTAACCAGGAGTATACGAATTTCAAAAGCAAAAAGGTGTCAGAGGCTATTTAAATGTTTTAGTGTAGAAAAGGTACGTCGGGAGATATTGGATTCATGATTTTTCCAGAAAAGGGTTTGATCAAAGATTATTCCAAGGTTTTTGATGGTGGGTTAGAATTTAATGGGATTATCATGTGAGAACAGGGTTGGAATGCTAAGAAGAGCTTTGAGGAGGTTATTGGAGCCTATTAGGATTGCCTTGGTCTTTTCCTCATTCAACTTCAGCTTGTTAGTCCCAGTCATATATTCTATTTAAATCTTCTTGAAGCTTTTTTGTGGCGACTAATAGGTCAGAAGGGGGGAAGGACAAGTATATTTGGAAATCGTCAGCATAGATGGTGTTGGGAGTGATGGATCAGGAGAGGAAGGTCATTAATGTAAATAGCAAACAGAGTAGGAGACAAGGAGGAACCCCGAGGGACACCACAGGAGAGGGGAAGTGTCTTTGAAGGAGGTTGATCTGGGGCGACTACATATTGGGATCGATAGGACAGAAAGGATTTGAACCAACGCAGGACACTTCTTCGATAGAGGAAGATTTTGCAATTTGGTAAGAAGGATTTTATGGTCAACTGTATCAAACGCTTTGGAGAAATGTAGAAGGATGAGGATAGTTAGGTTTTGGTGTTCAATGGAGTTTTGGAGGTCATGGGTTATTTTAAGGAGGGCAGATTGCGTTGAATAGCCCGGTCGAAAGCCAGATTGGAATGGTTTCATGAAGGAACGTTCTTCTAGGATGTTGGAAAGTTGGTTTTGGACAAGGCGTTCCAGTGGTTTTGAGAAGTTGTAAAGAAGAGAAATAGGGCGGAAGTCGTTCAGTGAGGAAGGGTTAGAAGTTTTATTCAAAGGTTGGACTAGTGCAGTTTTCCAGGAAGAGGGGAATATGGAGTTTTGCAATGAAAAGTTGTAGATATGATAAAGTACTGGAATAGGGGTAGGAAGGCTGGATTTTATAAGTTTTACTGGAATATTGTCAGTACCATAATCATTGGTGTGGGATTTTTGGATCGTGGAAAGTACTTCGTCGTAGGACACATGGGAAAAAAAGAAGTTTTCAGGATTGAAATTGTGGTGTTCGATATCATGAGTAGGAGAAGGATTAGAAGGGAATGATAAGAAATGGTCATTAAGATCATCTGGAGTAACTGGGAGGGAAATTAGATTATTGGAATATGGTAGGGATAGTTTACGAAGTATTTTCCATTTTCGTTGAACCAAATTCGAACTTAGTTTTCTATAAATGTAACTCCAAAGGAGAAACTTTTTTTTTAAGCGGCCATTCCATATATTTAATCCATGCTAATAACTGATTGTTAAAACAGCGCGTTGATGCTTAAGCGGAAGTCCGAGCTTTCGGTTTTGCTCTCTGGGTTCTGAAATGAACCCCTGACAAAATTTCGTTGGGCAATGCGGATATACAGACAGACCAAACATTTGTAAAAAGTGGATTTAGTGTCTGTTATGTACTAAATGCGTTGATTATATTCAATGTAGAGACAAAAACTTTATTTTATTTATATAGATGGTGTCCCGTAAGTGGAAGGAAATTTTTATAGGAGTGATAGCAGACCTACTATGTTTTTAATAGGGTAAATAATATATAATTAGAGGTCAATATCTTAATATATTATAATTAAAGGTTTTATTATTTATTACAAAATTATACTTATATTTTAGATTAATTGAGATTATTTTGAATATGGGGGCGATCCCTTCAACCGTTAATGTTTTCAAACTAATAAAATAAATTCATAAGGGAAGCCTAATTTGGAAACAAAACTAAACTAAATTGATTGATAAAGACTTGTCTGATAATTCATAAGAAATAAATAATAAATTCAATAATCAAGAATTAAGAATCTCATTGATGGTTTATTTCAAGTATCATATCAATGAAATAAAATACAGAATATACATACGAATGAACATTAATATACATGAATAATTAATTGTCATAATTATTTTACTAAATGAAAATTGCTGTTATTTGATTTAAAAAATATATATTCTTAAAACTGATTTATAATGTAAATGCATTTTGTAAATATGATTTTTCAAATGGTCTACTTTAATATTTAAACATGAAATCACAGAGGAAACAGAATATTAGAAATGCTTTATCAAAAATGTGATAAGTTTTTAGAACATCATTCATGCAAAATAGAATAAAAGAGTTGATGTGCACAGTGCACCTAAGCTGAAAAGCTGTGCTGTGCTTGTGCAGTGCATAAAGTTTTTTTGATAACCTAAGCTCTCCTGCTAAGCATAACCAACACTAAAATCTTCGGGAAAAACTGAAAGCAACAGGCAATTGACAGAATGAAAATTTACCCTAACATCTTATAAAGTAATACATTAGTGGAATTTTTACAATGATTTTTAATTAGAATTAATTTTTCTAAAATCTTCCTATCTTATAGCTTTTTCCCAATTTCCATAATTTTATAATTTTAGAACTATATTCAATATGCAATATAAAAACAAAAACATCAACAATTGCAGGTGTTCGAATCCATTAAGGAAGATATTGAGTGTTGGAAAGTCAAAAGTGTGCATGTGCAATAGCGAGCAGTGCATTATCCATTTGCACAACTGCCACACAATACCGCTGACAGTAAGTCTAGATGACAATTTGGTAGATTTTGCAGGATTGGTCGCCACACAGGTGTAGTCTCCTGAATGCTCCAGACCAACTTTGCCTATTGCCAGGGTACTCGAAAAGTCATCTTTGGTAATATGTACACCTAAATCTGATGAAAATTCTACACCATCTTTCAGCCAAGTGAGTGTTAATGGAGGGTCACCAGATTGAACAACACATTGTACTTGGGTCCTTACACCTTCCACCAGTTCCCCAAACGTGAAAGGTCCTAGTTTTGGAGGCACTGAAACAAACACAATCTAGGCTACTTTCACAATTCAAATAAAGAAAACCTGAGATAACCTGCATACAATACAATTCCAGCAACCGAGGCACTGTTTAAGTGTTCTAAAAATACTAGATATATATATATATATAAAAAATAATTAGCTAAAATATTGAATTAAGTTACATAAAATCCTTTAAAATTTAAGCTGGATGATATGATAACTCTCTTGTATAAAGGTGTACCTCAGTCCTTCTCAAATGATTACCATTAACAAGAAGTTTTGCTGTGTATTCTACAGTTGAAGCATTGTTCCTTGCAATGCATGTGTAGTTGCCAGTATGACCTTCAGTAAGAGAGTTGATAGTGAGGGAGCTAGTGTACTGTCCATACCGGTGTACGGTTACATCTCCAGGCAGCACACCACCATCTTTTGTCCAACCAAGCCAGAGTGGCAGATCACCCTTAGTCACAAAGCATTGTACCCCTACACGGTCTCCCACATGGAGATCATTTTGAAGGACAAATGGCGCTATCTTCGGAGCAACTGAAAAGCTATATCTATTAGAAAACTGTATATTTATTATGATACATTTTATATTATTTTTTAAACAATTTTTTATATTCATAAAATGACATTAATCTTCCTATCTTTTGCCCCTTTTATTTTCTTACATAATTTCAAATGCACATAATTCCTTACCTATCATCAGCAAACTACCATTACATATAAATACTATAATATACCGGATGTACCTAATATGCGGGTCATAATAGACATAACTTGAAAACTGTTAGAGATATTGCAAAATTGCCAAGGGCCAATGTTGGACCTTTCGTTCAGATCTTCCACACGCGTGATTTATTAATTACAAAAAGGCTAATTTTAAGCGCTCGCTAGAAGATCCGTGTTTTATCTTTACCCCACATTTTTAATACAATTTTGAAAACTTGTCAAAAAAAAAATCACGTGTACATTATATTTTGTTTCCCCTAGCATTTCTTGATAAAACTGTGGTCAAAATCTTACCTATGTTTAATGTCACAACTGGGAAATTGAAGCAAACTATTTTTTTTTTTTAAACTTATTTATTGAAAAATATTACAATCTGTCTCAAGAACATTTATAATAGAGTTCTGAGATCACATTCACACTCCATGTACAATAAATAAAAGAAATTATACAAAAAAATAATATATATACAATAAATAAGAATAAAATAACCTAAAAATAACACCTACATACCTATATACAATTTTTACAATCTAGTGAGAAAACTCAAAACCAGACTTGTCCCTCCAACTATGGAGGGAAAAGCATGACTTCAGGAGATCTCTCAATCGCGTCACTGGGGCTAGGCCCAGTGGAGATTGAGCAAGAGTGCTTTAGCCACATACACTCATGTCGCGAGTGGAGAATCTAGCCATTGCCAGATAAGTATTTTATTTTCAATAGAGAGTTTAGATATTCTATTTAGTAGGATGTATAGTTGGCCGTATCGTCGGTTAATTTCCTGTCTTTTAAGTCAATATGAGGGTTCCACGTTATCCTAAGAGAAAGCCAAGGTACCGGACTGTGTCTGAGAAAGGAAGCTGGATGGAATTAAAGTGTACTGGTGGACAGGAACTGCGTCGGAGCGTGAAGGTGATGTGTTTGATTCGTTTATTTTAATACGCCATTTATTAAACCAGTGCTCAATCAGGGAGAGTTGTCTTTTAAGGTTTAAGGATACTATATCAGGATCTGAATCGGATGATAGAATGGCGGTGTCATCAGCAAAAGTTGTCAGGAAGGTATCGGGATGGATAGGGATATCGGCGGTAAAGAATATGTAAAGGACGGGACCCAATACGCTACCTTGAGGAACACCAGCCTCGATTGGATAGCAATTTGAAAATTCAGTGCAGCAGCGAACTCGGTACGATCGGAGTGGTAGGAACGGAAGACAAGGTATATGGACTGAGGAAGATGGGTTTTAAGTTTGAAAAGAAGCCCGGCGTGCCATACCCGGTCAAAAGCTTGAGCTATGTCCAGAAATGCAGCCGAGAAATATTGCTTGCTTTCCAGGGCTGCGGAAATATGATCGACCACTCGAAGTCCTTGTCGGACTGTGGAGTGTTGGGAACGAAATCCGAACTGGTGTGAAGGAAGATTTTGAGATTCTATAAAGTATAGGATTCTTTTCAGGAGGATCTTTTCAAGGATTTTTGGAAGGATTGGAAGTAGGCTAATGGGTCTGTAGGAAATAAGCTGTTGGGATGTTTGCCTGATTTTAGGAATAGGATAATAATAATACTTTCTCGGGAAAACATGTCTTGAAGCAACAGACAGTATCAGACAAGTGTAGGCTCTGTTCCAGCAGGTCCGAGTCTATTCAGCACATAACTGGAGGGTGCCGAGCGCTAACTGGTAGAGAATACCTCAAGAGACATGACGATGTTGCAAAAATTTATCATCAGGCAATTGGTCTAAAAAGAATGTTAGTGAATGATTCAATACCTTCTTATAAGTACAATCCTAAAGAACTTATCCACAAGGAAGAAATGAAATTGTATTGGAATCAATCTTTAATAACAGACCATACTGTGCTCCATAACAGACCTGATATAGTGTTGATCGACAGTATTATGAAGACAGCTGAAATAATAAATATCGCTGTACCAAATGATGAGAACACCAACTCGAAAAAAATCGTAAATATCAAACTCTTGCAGCCGTGTTAAAAGATCTGTACAGACTGAACAAAGTGACAGTAAAGGCTTTAGTGGTCTCTAGCAATGGGCTGATTCCAAAATCCACTGTAGAAGCTACCGAGAAGTTGGGCCTCTCATCAGCTACGATAAATGAAGCCCAGAAAGCTGTGCTGCTGAACACTACGAGGATCGTAAGGAGCTTCCTAAATATCCAATAAAACTACAAAAATTAACGTGAAGTGGTTAAAGTTAACTCTTCTTCACTAAAGGAGAGTGGACGGTGTCTATCCAGATCTTATTGAAATATCAGAGTATTGGAAAGGTATTTGGGAAAGTAAAAAATGTTTTAACAATGAAGCAAATTGGTTGGAAAATATTCGCCATGGCTTATCAGATCTCCAACCTATGGAAACAACCAGTATCACTGTGGAAGATGTGACAAAGGCACTCAAACAAATGAAAAACTGGAAAGCTTCTGGGCCAGATAAAATGCAAAATTACTGGCTTACTGAGTCCTTTAGCAGTGTTCAAAGCCACCTAGCTGTGTGGTATCAGAAACTATTGTCTGAAGAGATTGACTTACCAGCGAAGTTCTGTACCGGTATGACTTACTTAATAAAGAAAGGAAGCAAAAACAGGCTGGAACCACAGGATTTGAGACCCATAACTTGTCTTAATGGTGTGTACAATTTACTAAAGTTACTAGAGTTAGCTGTAATCAGGAATAAGTTGACAGATTGCATTGAGGTAAAGGGTACCATGGCAGCGGAACAGTTAGGTATTAAGGCAGGTTCAAAAGGTTGCAAAGAACTTTTGATTATCGATTATTTTATTACTGCTCAAGTTACAAAAAAATCTCGTAATATTACATTGTCTTGGATCGACTACCGTAAAGCCTTCGATTCGGTTCCCCATGATTGGCTGCTGGAAGTGTTGAAAATCTTTAAAGTAAACCAGGCAATAACAGATCTATTAGAATGATTGATGAAAATTTGGAGGGTCTCAATCAGTACACCAACTTTGAACGGAATGAGTTCCAATGAATACATATCTATAAAGAGAGGTATTTTTCAAGGGAACTCCCTTAGTCCTATATGGTTTTGTTTGGCGATTAATCCACTTAGCAAATTGTTGGTTGATACAGAAAAAGGGTACCTACTTAACTCTGAAATGAAGCTTTCTCATTCATTCTATATGGATGACCTCAAGCTTTACGCTAGGAATGAAGACGGAATGGGAGCTCTTCTGAAGACAATAAGAACGTTCAGTAATGATATAAAAATGGATCTAGGAATAGATAAATGTGTAATAGCACACGTGAAAAGAGGAACAGTTATTAAGGGCAGTAATATTGAGATATCAGAAAATGTAATAATGAATCAATTGAGAGAATCTGATTCTTACAAGTACATTGGAATACACCAACTTCTGAAATTCAATGCTAATTCAAAGAAAAACTTTGAGGAAGAATTTAAATACCGTGTTAAATTAGTACTTAAATTACATTTAAGTGGAATAAATTTGATACGGGCATTGAATACCTGGGCAATACCTGCTTTAGCCTACTCATTTGGGGTACTGAAGTGGACTAAAACCGATTTAGAAAGGTTGGATCGTTTTCTTAGAGTACACATGGTGCTTTCAAGGAAGAGGCATCCAAAGTCATCTGTAGTGAGATTGTATCTTCCTAAGAAGATGGGAGGGCGTGGTCTAGTCAGCCTCTTGAATTTATGCCGAAAGGAAGAAAATAATCTTCGCGACTACATTATAAACCATACTTCCAATATCCTTTCAACTATCGCATCATTAGATATAAATTATACAGCTTTGAATTTACGAAGCCCTTGAATCCCGATCAGTGAAGCAGATGATGGCACTCGATCAGAAATATGGAAAAATAAACCTTTACATGGACGATTTTATCACTCATTAATGGTTATAGGAGTGGACGCTGAGGCGTCGTTGACATGGCTGAAGAGTGGAAGTATCTTTCCGGAAACAGAAGGATTCTTGTTTGCTATTCAAGAACAGGTAATAGCCACAAAAGCATACAGAAAACAAATATGTGGAGAGGGCATCGATGACTTATGTCGCTTATGCAAAAAGGCAGTTGAATCAATTCAACATGTAACATCAGGATGCACAATTCTTGCGGGTAAGGAATACTTGATACATACAAATACAATACAGCTAAGGTAGTGCATCAAGCTATGGGTCAGAAAATGGGACTCGTCGATAAATATTGTAAATATTATAAATATCATCCAGAACCAATTAACTCCATGCGCAATGTCAAGGTATTCTGGGATCAACCGATCCTGACC